CTACTACTACTACTACTACTACTACTACTACTACTACTACTACTACTACTACTGCTGCTGATGCTGTTGCTGATTTTGCTGCTGCTGCGGCTATTGCTGCTGTTACTACTACTATAGTTTGTCTTTATTCTACTTGTGAGTACATGCCACTTTTATTTCTCGCTATATTTCTAGTGTCACTTGTGGGTTATTGGAGGGCCTCACTATGTAGGTCATACCTCTTTTCTATCTGTCTGTCTGTCTTTCTTTCTTTTTCTACCAGCAAAAGTAGTTGCATTGATGTGCTTCTCTTTACTCAAACAAACAGATAAACAGAAGCAAAAACAAACAAACAAACAAATGTGGGTGGTTCGCGGGTGCTCTGGTGTGGTTTGCTCCTTCGTTCCTATCAAACATTTATCGTCCTGATCTCTCCTCCTTCATTTTTGTGTTTGTTACTCTCTTGTAACACCTCTAATCTTTGGCACTTATATGACCTTAAGGTCTTGCAAGTGCCGCAAAACACTTACTAAAACAAAACAAACAAACAAACAAACAAGTAGGGTCACTCACGGCACAGGAAGGGTTTCTTCGTCATGCAGTCTTCTCTCTGAAGTCGGATGTTTCCGGCGGTATCCTTGGCAACGGCCACACATTCTCCGCCAAGATCAAGGACACCTCCGAGATAGGAAGACGGGTCAAGCTCAGCACCTGGGGATGACCGTTAAAGATTCTGTATCGATCTATTGATTATTAATCTATAGTTTGTGTAAGAAATACTAAGAATCTGTACCGACCTGTTGATTATTAAGTCTTTCGTTTGTGTACGACATTTTAAGATTCTTAATCGATCGGTTGATTATTCAGACTTTGGTTTGTGTAGGAAATATTAAGATTCTGTATCGATCTATTGATTATTGATTGATTGATTTGTGTAGGAATATACTAAGATTCTATATCAATCTATTGGTTATTCAGTCTTTGGTTTGTGTAGGACATGTTAAGATTCTGAAATAACTAACCAACCAACCAAACAAACAAACACACACACAACCAGCCAACCAACCAACCAACTAACCAACCAACCAAACAAACAAACACACACAACCAACCAACCAACCAACCAACCAACCAACCAACCAACCAACCAACCAACCAACCAACCAACCACCCACCCACCCAACCAACCAACCAACCAACCAACTAAACAAACAAACAAAAAAACACACACACAAAACATCGAGGAACAGCCTGCGATCCTCACCATCAATCCAGATTGTCTTTTTGTCCTGCATGAGGCCGATCCAGTAAGACTCCTGACCAAGATTTCCCACAAACCGACAAACAAACAAACCAACCAACCAACCAACCATTCAACCAACCACCCACCCAACCAACCAAGCAACGAACCAACCAACCAACTAAACAAAAAAAAAAAACCCAAACAAACACAAAACATTGAAGAACAGCCTGCGATCCTCACCATCAATCCAGATAGTCTTTTTGTCCTATATGAGGCCGATCCAGTAAAACTCCCGACCTAGATCCCTCACAAACCGACAAACCAACCAACCAACCTACCAACCAACCAATCAACCAGCGAATCAACCAACCACCTAACTAACCAACCAACCAACCAGCCAATCAACCAACCAATCAACAACCAACCAAACAAACAAACAAACAGAAAACATCGAGGAACAGCCTGAGATCCTTACCATCAATCCAGATTGTCTTTTTGTCCTGCATGAGGCCGATCCAGTAAGATTCCCGACCTAGATCCCCCACAAACTGGGAGGAGAGGTCGCCACTAGCCATGGTAGCCAGGGTCATGCCCTTTGTGGCGCACTCCATCACAGCACGGAGCCACATGACTTGGGATTGAACCTTGACTGGCTTGCAGGGGAGGGTGTTTCCGGTACCTGGGAAGGGGAAGTAATTGGTAGTACGTAGCACCTGGGAGAATAGCCATTACATTATAATATGGTCGCTTTTAAGGTCAAGCGGGCCAACTCAGATATATCTATTGTTGATATCATGTTGTTATAGCCACATAAAAATACTACTACTACTACTACTACTACTACTACTACTACTGCTACTACTACTACTACTACTACTACTACTACTACTACTACTACTACTACTACTCACAGTTCTGGCAGATGAACGGCAGGTCGTTCTTGGCGGTCGAGTCGCAAGCGTCGAAGCTGACCTCGACCTGAGCTCCCTGCAGCGGGGGTTTGGACAGGTAGGCACAGGTGGGCTCAATGCCGTGCTCAGAGAGATACTCGTCCAACTTGTACGGGAATCTGCTGTCTGTGGTAAGATCAGATCAGATCAGATCAGATCAGATCAGATCAGATCAGATCAGATCAGATCAGATCAGATCAGACTAGATTAGATCAGATCAGATCAGATCAGATCAGATCTGATCAGATTAGACCAATTATGTGATAGATAGAGAGATAGATCATGCGACCGATAGATATGTAGTCTCTAACAAATAAATGGGGGTGGGGGGGGGTGAAATGCAAAACCTGCTAAGAGATATTTTGTTAAAATATCGAGATTCTTTACTTATAAATGCACTTTGTAACCGGCTATCAGATGCACAAAGTGTTTTCGGCCAAAACCCAACGCATCTTTCATAAAAGTAGAAAAAAATGGTCTTTTTACACATGTTCGTGCGTATAGCAGCATTTTAAAAAGCTGATTTTCTCAAAAGTGCTAAAATGGATGAAACAGGGTTTTGTATCTCAGCCCCTCAAATATACATCATTATCTTTCGGGCATATGGAGTTAATTGATACCATCTCAAAGCTTGTTTATTTATCTTGCGTTTAATGAAAACAAATACCCATCTATCTGGAAGAGAAGTTGAGATATTTACAAATGAAGGAGACTGGGATAGCCTGCTGTCGGGGGTAAAGTTAGAGAGCAAATTAAATGGCCTTCACCCTTAGGTGACTTCTAAAGCTGGGCGGTCCTTGGTAACTGGAAATGTACCCTTAAATGCCTTTGACTAACGTCTTTCAGTAAAATCCACACAGAAATGTGTTTTGAAATGGACATAAAAGATGTTGAACCCCCTAAAAAAATACTATATAAAAATTTTAATAGAAGAATAAACTACTACTATACAAATAGAAAATAAAAATTCAAAAAATAGTTTTAGAAAATTGTCTAACCGACGGAGAAAAAAATATTGATTTTTTCAATTCCATTATTTTCACGAACGCCCGATTTCACCACGATAGAATGAAACCTACAAATTACAAATTACTCTAACTCATCATGAGAATCGAACCTCTGGCATAGACAGAGTAGCTGGTCTCTCCTCCGCACCTCTTCCTGAAGTCGTGTTGACATTTGATGGTACAGCTGGACTCGCTCACAGAAGAGGTAGATGGCGCGCCGTTCAGACACAGGCATGTCTCGTTCTGATAGACAGAGAAAGGTTTGTTCATAAATCTTAGTCATGCTGATGTCAAATCGATTGCACAAGACAGTCTTGTTCTGATAGACAGAGATAGGTTTATACATTAATCTCAGTGATGCTGAAGTTAAAATCCTTTGCCAAAAACAGTCTGGTTCTGATAGACAGAGAGAGGTTTATACATAAATCTTACTCATGATGATGTCAAAATCCATTGCCAAAGACACGTCTTGGTCTGATAGACAGAGATAGGGTTATATAATAATAAATCTTAATCATGCTGGTGTCAAAATCCTTTGCAAAAGACTATCTCATTCTGATAGACAGAGAGAGGTTTATGCACAAATCTTAATCATGCTGAAGTCAAAATCCTTTTCCTAAGACAGTCTCGTTCTGGCAGGTGGAGAGAGATTTATACATCAATCTTACTCATGGTGATGTCAAAATCCTTTGCTAAAGGCAGTCTAATTCTGATAGACAGAGAGAGGTTTATACAGAAATCATAGTCATGCTGGTGCCAAAATCCTTTGCCAAAAACAGTCTCATTCTGAAAGACAGAGAGAGGTTTATACAGAAATCATAGTCATGCTGGTGCCAAAATCCTTTGCCAAAAACAGTCTCATTCTGACAGATAGAGAGAGATTTATACATACATCTTAATCTTAGTCATGCTGATGACAAAATTCTTTTTTTTTCAGGGTTTTTTTTGGTTGTTGTTGTTGTTAGTTTGTTGTTGTTGTTGGTTTTTTTGTTTTGGCTGTGTACAATGATGATCATGATGAGTATCTTGATGAGTAAATGAAGACGACAACGATGACGACGACGATGATGAGTAAATGATGATGATGATGATGATGATGATGATGATGATGATGATGATGATGATGATGATGAGTAAATGATGATGATGATGAGTAAATGATGATGAATAAATGATGATGAATAAATGATGATGAGTAAATGAGGATGATGATGATGATGATGAGTAAATGAGGATGATGATGACGATGATGATGATGATGATGATGATGATGATGATGATGATGAGTGCAGTTCTCACTTTGATGGCGATGTACTGCGAAGATGGGCATTCGGAGAAACATTCCAGCACGCTCTTCTTGGATACCACGATCTCTGTCAGCTTGTCAAAGACCTTCTGGTTGTCGTAACACCCATCGTAGTAGTACAGGTCGATCTCTCTTTTGTCTGGAGGTGAGATAAGGTGAGATGAGATGAGACGAGGAGAGGTGAGGTGAGAGGTGGTGAGGTGAGGTGAGGTAAGTGAGGTGAGGTGAGAGGGAGTGAGGTGAGGTGAGGTGAGGTGAGGTGAGAGGTGGTGAGGTGAGGTGAGGTAAGTGAGGTGAGGTGAGAGGGAGTGAGGTGAGGTGAGGTGAGGTGAGGTGAGAGGTGGTGAGGTGAGGTGAGGTAAGTGAGGTGAG